ATAAAATATTATTAATTCATAATATTTATATAAAATATTTAATAAATTATTATTATATTTATTTTAATTTAATATGAAATATATATATATATAAATAAGGTGTAAAGGAATTATTACAATTGGTAGAAAAAAAAAAATTCCTCATAAATGTTTGATACATACACACAGTAATTTATTTAATATATATATACACTTAAAAAAAAAAAAATAATATAAGATAAATAAATAATGTTTCTGTAATAAGTTAATGACAATTGCAACAAATTAATATTCTTTTTTACATTGCATAGTAATTATTAATTCATAATATATTATTATGTACACATCTAGAATTTAATTTATAGTTGTTACATAATTATGTTTATTATACAATGAAATCAGAGATAACAATAAAAGGGGTAAATTTTTTTAAAGAGCTCGGTTATTTTGATAAATTTACTAATATACATTGTAAATGTTTATACAAATATATCCTATTTATTATTATTATTATTATTATTACTATATCACAAATGTATTTAAATAAATAACATTTATTTTTGTTGAATAATAAATAAATCTTATAAAAATAATATATATTGCGTAATATTTTATTCGTATTATTTGTTGATAATAAAATATTATATTTATTCGAAAAACAAAAAAACAAAAAAAGAAATGATACTTTCGAAAATAAAATATATTATTTGTTTACAAATTATTGTTAAATATTTAATTTGTTTAATCTAATTTTTCAATTTGTTAATAATAAATATTTTATTAATTTCGAATAGTATGATTTTTCGAATAATAATATTTTATTATTTGTTTCAAAATAGTATTTGTAGAAATTTGATTTTAGTTTCAAAAAAATAAAAACAAATGAAAAAAAATAACAAAAACTAAACCTTTTATTAAAATTTCAAATATTTTGCAATATTAAAATTTCAAATATTTTGCAATATTAATATTACAAAAAATATTTCAAATTTTAATATATATATATATATATATATATATATATATACAAATATTGAATAAAATTCTACTTTATCGAGATATATTTTATATATTACAAATACTATTTCAATTTCAAAATGATCTTTAGTTAAAGATATTAATTATTGCAATATATTATTTTTATAATAGAAATATTCTCACCATCCAAGCTCTTTTTTGAATTATTTCAATTTTTACACCCCCTTTTTTTAAATTAACTTTCCTTATTTCCTATTTTGCTTTTCTTCGTATTATTTTTATATATATATATATAAAAAAAAAAAAAAAAAAAAAAAAAAAAAAAAAAAA